AATAACAGGTTCTAAAGTAATCAATCTTTTGACAATTGCAAGCTCTAAAATAACCAATCATATAAAGTTTCCACTATCATTACTTTAGAACCTGTTATTGTCAAATAGCTGACGCTGGTAGGGGGGTTGATTTTACGTAATAAGTGTCAGCTCCCTTATTCTGCATTATTACAGAATTATGCAAGAAGGATATAATGAAAATGCATCAAACCCATTAGATTATCTTCAAACCCATTAGTTATCTCTAATTATTAGCTTGAACCTACTGAAACATGCCATTTGTCATTGTTGTGCAGTATAGATTGGAATCGATGAATGTCGAAGATTGGTTGATTACAAAATCTCGATTTTCGAAAATTGGTGAAAATTTTTGACCGAATATTCGAATATTCGTCGAGTTTTTAAAATATCCTGTATTACATAAAAAAAAGAATACATAATATGACTTATATTAAATTTATCAATTGTACAGTTTTTATTAATTATTTAATATGCAATTTACATGAATTACAACCTTTATCGTTATAAAAATTATACATTAAACGTCAGGAAGAATAAAAGCCATTGCCTTCATATTATGCTTTAAAAATATTATTTTGTAAAATAACTTTAGATTTAATAATGTTCTCTTTGCACTCATTATATTTTCTTCAATCCAAAAACAATTGTTCATTTGATTACTGTTGCAGAAAGTGAATGAAATTTTCGTGCTATTTCTCTTAAAATTGGTTGCGTAAAGGCCGTCATATTGGTTTTTTTTGCAATCTTTATTGGTTATTATGATCAAATTAAATATTAAACCAAATTTCGTCTTTAATTAACGTCATTTGAAAGATTTAATTAAGGGTGTTCTCAAGCACCTTACTCAATGGATCGGAATCAAACTTTAAATAGTCGGAAATTGAATAAATTAACCAAATGAGTTACCATTTCGATGAACAAATCAGCGAAATACAACCCATCTTTTTCTTCAAAAATTTACCATTGATAAAGATCGTTCAAGCATTACTTTTAATTTTTTGCATATCAAAAATAATAAATAATGAATTCTCAACAAATTTCTAACCGATATGAAAAAAAAATAGTTTTTTTTTAAAACAAATAATTGATAGTAATAAATACATCCCATCTTTTAACCTTTAATAAACCGTAATGAATATTGCTATTCATTTTCGTTCAATAAAATCTAAATATTAATATTTGTAAGAAAAAAAAATTATATTTGCAAGAAAAAAAATTTATTTCTTGTTGCTGTAATGCAACTTTCGCTAATGATTCCATAAATAGATTCTTTTGCTGTTGCAGCAATGATAAAATCATTAAAGGAGAAACCGACACAGTCGAAGTTAAAAGTTTCGGCAGCCGGTTTAATAGAAATTTTTTTAAAGTGTTTTAGGTGGCATAACGTAGATCACGAAAAACAGAAAGAGTACTCAAGCATTTAATTCTATAAATATCGTCATTAACTGAGATGCTTGAGTGTCATCATGATCATTATTTAATTGATCGATTGAAATACCCTAAATCAATAAAAACTTATTAAATTATTTGATTTCTAACATGGCTCAATCTTTTCTCTTGCCAACACTATGACCGCCTGCGAGCGACCGGTTATGAGCCGATAACCGATGATAATAATGACCAAGACCGACTGTGACCCCGAACCCATCCCTAGTCTTGAGTAGTTGGTTTAATTCCGTTCCTGGTTTTGCGCGATAACATTGCGCAGCTATCTAGTTCATAATTTTATCAGCTAAATTTCTTATTTTAAATTTTTGCTATACGATCTGTATATCCAAAAAATCGACATCCGAGGCAAATTTTTCAGTTTGTTTCATAATCACATTTTTTCTTCTTGAGATGTAAACTGCAACATAAGCCTTTTTTCTCTTTTTGTCCCATGAGTCCCGTGATTACAATATAGGTAATCACTAAAATTCATTATATTTTGCGGGACTCATTTTATGAGTACTTTTTTTTAATATTTTTATTATTCTCATATTTGTCTTTTAGACTTCTTTTACTAGTATAAGAGCCTTGCAAAATATGTGATTACCTATATTGTAATCACGGGAATTACGATAAAGAGCGATAATTGCTAATAAGAATCATACAAATGTTAACTTCAAATTGATTGGAATGAAAATATCTATAAATAAAAGAGTTGAAATTTTCTTCGAACAAAGTCCAATACTCAAATTAGAAATCTATGCATCCTTGTTTCGAAATCTGAACTTCAAATAATCTGGTATATTTAAAGATGCCGTAACTAGGGATGGGCGCTGCGGAATTTTTCAGAATTTAACAATTATGGCCCACATTAACAGAAACTACTATAATGCGGGCCTGCGCAGTAAATTCAAAAAATCTTCGATTTGCCCATCACTAGTTAAAAACTGTAATATTCTAATATCAATTCTTTCTGTTATATTATTAATGGTCGCAAATATACACAATTTAATACTGTAATCGTATGAACGATTTAATAAATTGTTTACTAATATCTATTACATTCGCAATAAAAAAAATATTTTTATTTCTTCCCATCCATGCTTAGATTTTTTTGCATTTTCAATCATTAGCAATTTTCACGGTTTGTTAAATTTGGTTCATTGTTGAAGTTCAGATAACTTAGACATAAAGGTGATAATTTATAAAGTATTAAAATTGTTTAAATAGCACTTGTACAGTACGTACGTATTTTGAATTGTTTATCTCACTAGTATTCACCTCACACTTGAAACTATAGTATTTTTCTTTGTAATAAAGATTTTTTTCATTCCTTTTTAATATCGACACTGAATTAATTCTTATCCACTGATTTAATTTTTTTTTTTAGGGAAATACAAAATTCGTGCAAGAACCAATAAATGGCGCACACCATAAATCTTAACAAATCTTCAAAAAAAATGGATAAAAAAGAAACTGTACACGTCGTGAACCATGTGATAAATAAAATACGTATTAATTAAATAACTACGCAATAAATAAACTAATAATTTTTTTTTGTTTCAATAGCTTAATTAACAAACTTTGAATTTGACTGATAGCGATAAACTTCCGGAGTAAAATTTAATATGGGTCAAAAACAATCTGCATGTTTTTTCAATTTTTTTTTTTCAGAATGAGCCAAAAAATAATTGGTCAGGTGAGTCAAGAACAATGTTTTCGCCAATTTAGGTGTTTAATCAATTATTTAAAAAAAAAAGGTTACTTTTTGAACCATAAGTCTATACTTAAAAAGAAATAAGGAATTAAAAATAAAAAGAACGCATCAAGATACACAATTAAGTCCCATTCTATCCATTTTCAAGCGTAAATTTTCAAGATTACAAAAAGAATATCTATTATACACGACTATAATCAATTTTTATTTTAACTTAACCAAAAAAATTTTCATTATAAAAATTAAAAAATCAAATGGTTAATGATGGTTAATAAATTTATACAAAATATAGAACAAAAATAAACCTTTTTTTATAGATGACTATATATTAAGAAAATTATGAAAATGTAATAAAAACTTTAGCAGTTAAAAAAAAAAACAAGAGTTAATGAAATGAAATCATCAAACTAAGTAATAGGTAAATAAAATCTATTCGAAATAACGAGGATAGGTATCGTCATATCGATGACCACGTATTCCTTCATTGTAAAACATTTCAGGAAATTGCATTGAAGCTGGATAATGATCCTTTTGAACTTGTTTATTCAAATCATTATTTGAAATATTATTTGAATCATTGACCACAAGGAATTTACCAGCTTGAATTTCTGTATCAGTAATGTGACCATGACTGACTCGTGCAAATGAAATTCTTTTTAGCCCACGGAATCCAATGTATTCACACCATCTAGACATCTCAGATGGATCAATATCATTTATGTGACCATCATCAAAAAGAATATGATAAACATGTTGAAATGGTGCTGTCACAACATATCCCAAGAATACGAACGGATTAGGAGATTCACGCATGATTCGAGCCAATTCGGTAGTTTGTAATTCACGATCCAATAGATTCTCTTCTTGACCATTATGACTAACAATAAAATCAACATGTTGACCATAAATATTCAAAGTTGCATGAATTGCACAAGCAAGTTCACCAACTGGAGAAGGTAAAAGATGATGAGTCGAATTTATTATAGGGAATTTTGAAAGTATGGCACAGCCCCATGTGTGTTTTGCCGGTCCCGGACCGTAATCTACGTAATAACCTAAGTCTTCAGAAATGTACTGCCACAAATCTCTGTTACCCATGATAATGCGCTGAGTATCGGATTCCAATAGGCCTGAAACACCGAATAAAAAATTAATGATCAATAATATTAATAATTATGATGAAGATGGTGATGAAAATTTTTATAACATTTAAAAACATTTAAAAACATTTAAAATATTTTAAAAACATTTTAAAAACATTTAAAAACATTTAAAAACATTTAAAACTATTTAAAAACATTTAAAAACATACCGATAACATCAAATTCTAAATCCCTTATGGCGTCTCTAATACGTACTTCTGAAGACCACATATCATTATCAAGAGTGAAATGAATTGTCCAAATACCGGCCGTAAACATTTTATGTTCTGGTCTATGCGGAACTGGCGTTTTCGCAGATGTAAATCTAACAAATGCGACAAAAATACCAAGAAAAATAATTACAAAAACAGCTATACGAGTATAATTTCTAATAGATCTAATTTTTTGAAGTTGTGTAGTTTTAAGATTTTCAACAATACTAGCAGCATTATGAACACTAAAGCCAATGAATGTCATCATAAATATTAAAATCCAATTTGTGCGTTCACGAGCTAATGGTCCACCAGGAACAAACTCATAAGCAACGACCCATACATGTGCAAGACAAAAAATATTATAAATTATCATGGCAGTAAACAAAGTTCGACCAGGGTTGTGAATTATTGCAGACCTAATTAAATATGGAGTAATAGCCATAAAATATGCACCAAGAACCAGACCAGCGTAATATCCAATCCAAGAAGGAATAAAATAAACAATTACACAGCTAAAGCATCCAACTATATACATCAGAAAACTTGTTGATAATTTCGCATTAGTAGACATTAACAAGCCCATTCCCATCGCAAAAATGGTAATAGATCCCCAAGGAACAGGATCTGGACCGTAATTAGGATAACCATCAACAACCCAGCGCATGATGGTGGAAGAATCAGTAAACATGGAATGCAGTCCAAACATGATGGCACCAAGACCTAACGAAGCAGAAACCCAGCTTGTTTTAATTTTTGAAAAACTATTCGATGGTTTATCCGACAACTTTTTTTTACTACCAATAAAATCTCGAATAATTAGTCCTATACAGGCAAAACTTCCGAGTGACAATCCAATAAAGTTTTTACCACCATTAAATTCATGCATAATAGGCCATATAGGATTATTTGAGTACCAAGCCATTTTGATGACATTATGTAATAAAAGCCCAAGACACCAAACCGAGATATCATACTCCAATTGAAAACCTTTCGAACGATTTCCAAACCATGTAGCAAACCATGTTAAAAGACTAATACCAATTCCAGATGAAGATATTACGAGTCTATAAACTGGATCTTTAAATGTATAGGACGCAATACCCATCATTGATAATAAATGGAAGAATCCACGATATTTGAAAACAATTTTGCGCACAAAATCAAATGCCAAAAAAACCGGTGCAACAGTGACAAGTAGAAAAACTTCAAAGCCTGAAATACCCATGTGCCATAAGGGGAAATACCAGATTAATAATGCCAGAGCAGTAAGCATTGACCAAAAGGTGAACGCTATAATGTAGGTAATAAAAATATTATTATATGGTTACTATTGCATAATACAAGTATATTCCATATTCATTATTCAAGTTAACATACCAAGGTAAATGTCAGAAATAAAAGAAATTACTTTGGCGGAAAAACGAATGAATATTGGCAAGGAACTTTCATTTGAAGCATTGATATAACTGAAAACATATCGAAATTAGCGCAAATGTCTCGTATTCAATATAGACAGACAAGAGCAACTTTCCAATATATTAGACCATGCTCTAGTCAGCAATCAATGTCAATATAATACATGACTTTTACATAAATAAATGTAACATAAAATTATAGCTCACCTTAATTTTTTATTAATCAATGATCTAGAATGATTTCAAGAATAATTATTAGAATAAAAGTATGTACATAAACGCAACATCGCAACATCGAATAGTTAGTTCCAATATACAAAAATATATATATATATGTAAGAATAAGTATAATAAATAGTTTAAAGGCGTAAATATTATCTGGATTATCTTACACCCAGAATGATAAGTTAACTAGAGAAGTTTTTCCATGACAAGATCGTACCCTGCATTACTTTCAACAATTGCGGATGTGCCAGAGACATCTATGATGGCCAATTGGAAATTCTTAAAATCAAAGGAAGTAATGGCATCAAAAGCAACGTCGTATAGGATGAGAGACCATTCAAAAAATGCATAATATGTATAAGCTAGAATAATTATTGATCATAACCATGAAAGAAAAAATTTAGAAAATTCTTAATTCATTGATAGAATAATATTGATGATGATAATAATAGAAAATTAGAAATACCAGTTTTAACTCTATGAATTTTATGTTGAATGAAAAAATAGATCATAGGTACTAAAGTTGCAAAAAATGCAATACAGAGCCAACGCCGATATTTTAACGAATTACTATGAGAAGCCCGTGGGGTAGTCGAAAGCACACCAAGCATCCATGGTAGAGTGCAAACCAAATAAAGGATCATGGCAATATCATGCACGTCATGATCATCCGAAGATGTAATATAGACCCATCCGCCACATGAAACTGTTCTGATTATACCAACAGCCAAAAGAAACTTGGCAAAACCGGGAGATCCAGTGCGACATGTTTTTGTAATAAGAAGAAACCACAAAAATACCATCATAAATCGAGGTCCTTAATTTTTTTTAAAAATAAGGTTTTGTAATTAGAAAATTTTGATGATTTCATTCCATTGATTTTTCTGATCTTACCAGAATTTAATGCAATAAAAATTTGAAAAACTGCTCGCTCCGGATACCAATCACCTGTTGTGGCACTTACACTAGGAAACCATTCCTAATAGTAAGCAATATGAAAATTCATCAACGAAGACAATTAGTTCATAGAACAATTCTAATGAATCTGATGAGTAAAAAAAATTTATCGATACATACATCAGGATAACCATAAAATTCATTTTTTACGATCTTACGATAATGTGCGTAACATCCCACAAATAAGGCAAACAAAAATGCACCTAAAAAGCAATAACGTTTTACCGCCTTAGCGACTTTCAAGAATGCTTGCATATTAAATCAATTCATGATAATCATGAAACGCAAACTTACAATAGCCCAACACCGTATGAGCATAAGATACAAATTCGGCAGAAATCTAGCCGTCATTAACAATAAATTTAATGAAAAATGGTTGATATAAATAATTGCAATAATTAATACCCACAGTAGTCAAGAAAACTGTATTTCCAGTATATTTCTTAGCAACATGCGAAGGCATGGCTCCTAATAGCTACAAAAAATATATATATACGTAAATACTTATAATACATATACCATTAAGGAAAGAAGTTAAGATGCTAGGAAAATAAATTAAATTAATGTGAAATAACTACAAATTGTACGTTTGAAACTAACTTTGTAATAATTGGAACCAACAATTGAAGCAAGAAAAGAACAATTGATTTTTGAATGTACGTATGACGATAACGATCAGATTTTAAAAATTACGTACTGTGATAACAAATAAAGTTAGGATGATTTTTTGTGCTTCAAAACTCACTTGTTTAAGTTCATTAATACAGTAATATTTAACCGTTAACAAGCACTTCCTATATTTAGAATTTACTGATTTGGGGGACTTGCGATGTGCAATTTATGATGGATTGATATTTGCTGAAAGTAATAAATAACCGATACAGATAGCGATAGTTAATTATATTACAGGTTTTGAATTTATAAAACCGGTTTTTTTTTAGGCAAATTTTTCAACACGAGGGCTGCCAACTCCCAAGGGGGGGATCATCACATAATCTTGAAGATCAAGCACACAATTGGAAAATAAATTTTTTATATAACGTTATGCAAATTTTTTCTAGAAACTTAAATTAACAATTGTTTTCTAGAAATTAAAGTAACGATAACAATTCAATTCATTGAAGGTAATACGAGTATTGAACGTTGGTTTATGTAAATCTTTCGAAAAAGAAGTAACTAATATATCTTTTTTTAAGATATAAAACATATATAACCTATACGTAATGCCTTTCCAATAGCAGATTCCGATTTATTAGTACTAAAATTAGAGTTAGCTAGTAAATAAACGGATTCATGACGTTATTCTCACCTATCAAAATAAGATAATTTCATTATTTTTAAACTTAATTTTTCGAATGTTGTGCCATTGTTGGTAAATTTTGTGTAATCGGGAACGGCATCATTTAACCCGGTAGTATCGAATGCGGCTCAAACCTAGTTTGATGTGGTCGGATTTGTATTACCGGGTATTTTATTTATTTGGTAATATCGATTTTTCAAAT